CACCAGGGCAAAATTCAAAATTTCCTACCAACTGAAAATATTAGGTGTGTCCCGCGCGCTCATATGACCTTATGCAGTTGCGAGCGCCGTAAAACACTTTACAAAAACAAAAAACAAAAAACAAGGCAAATTCATAAGTTCTTCAATGTTACTAACAGCTCCACATGCCCAAAATTTGACGAGCTCCTGATTGCGCGGCATTGTAACACATATTTCAACATTATTTCTGTATCGTGGTGTTAAGATACATGATTTAGGTGATGTTTGAACAGGTATGTACTGGTATTCATTGTACCTTGTATATTATTTTGATGTCTCATTAGCAGAGCTTGGCATTTGATGCCATTGTGACCCTGGATGGTTTTACTTTTGCTTGAACATAATGTACACTGTACAACATAGCGTAATTTCGTATTCGTCAGCTCTTAACAAAGAATGTTGTTTGACTTGTATCCTATAGATTGTATTAAAACATATAACAGAGATGCCCATTTTCCACGTAAATCTGGAAATAAAAATTTCTGAAATAGTCTATATTTTGTAATGTATTCCTGCTGACACATTTATTTGTTTTAATCTCTTTTTGCATGTCTTATTGCACTTAATATAAGACAGTATTGATTCGAGACGCATGAGACCGTATGATCTGTGAATTTTGAGTGCCCGTGCGCACGTTTCCGTAGGGTCCAAAAAGTGCGGGATTTTTTTTTTCCATAGCTGTTTAGCTTTTCTGATGTAATGCTGGCTGACTTGTAAAGGTAGTGAAATTGCTAGACGACATAAGTGATAAGGCGCTCGTCAATTTTTGGGCATGTGGAGTTATTCTGTTCACCTTAAAGCTTTTTCGTTTGTCTTGCTTTCAATAAAAAAAATTTCTCTTTATCTTGAATACAAATCGAGATATTTGCGATTGATATTGGTGGGGGTCTCAGAGATAAAATTAGCGAGAAAATGGCTGCCAAAGCTATTTCCTTAGCTTGAGTGTCTGTGGAAACAGAATATTTACACTTTTTATGCCATTAATTGACGTTTATTAGTGCAATCCACACAGAAATATGTTTTTTAATTGACATGGAAGGTGTTCAGCCAAAAAACACAAATTTGATAAAAATTCTCAAAACTGCGGAAAGATGCCACTTTCCTCACTTAAATCATTTTGACAAGCGCATGATTTCATCCCCCTGCTTCGCTTATATTCTCTGGACTTTTCCAAATAATAGCATCTCTGTTCTATGGTGTTAAAAATGTGTGGTACTTGGCACCAAAAGGTACTTGCACCTATTTGCTATGTTTCCTAGGAAATGAAATCGTCCCTTTTTAGGCTAGTCAACTTAAAGCACATAATCATTGTTACTTTTCTTCTCTTAGTATATTACATTAATTAAACAATTTATCTGGTGTCTTCTTGGAGGAGATTGTAGAATGGTTTTCAAGGATGCATTATTTTAAAGTGCTTTGTCAAGGAACAGTGAAACAATAATTATATATGTTTTCTTTTATTTTACATTTGCTATTTTAAAATTTGTGTCTTCTGTGTATCATGTTTGTTTGTTATTTGTAAATTCTCTTTTTAAAACTTTCTTTTTTTGGGGGTGGGAAGGAGAAGATGTGTTTGTGTGAAAGAGAGAGAGAGAGAGAGAGAGAGAGAGAGAGAGAGAGAGAAAGTGGGTTGGGGGGAGAGAGGGGGAGAGAGAGCAGTGGGTGTGGGGGAGGGAGAGATTATACTTTGCTTCTGTGTCTATGTTATGTAATGCCCTCTACATTAATCTTGTTATCTTTGGAAAATTCTTTTGGTAATTTCTAACAAGATGGAAACCACATATTTTGAATATATTGTATAGGCTGAGATGTTCCTGCTTGTGATTACACGGCAGTTGTTGTGGCTTATGTCTGTGGTGTTGCACGCAAAGGACATGTGTTCCATTCCCGGTTGGGGAGAATTTTTATGGAGTATCTCAGTCTCTCTGCTGGGATCTGATATCCTGCTCCGCCGGGGATAGCCCTTACAGGCAGGGACAAAGCTTGTCTCCTAAAATATCTAAATTAATTTTATTATGTCGATGGGGTTGTGAAAATGCCTCCATTTTTAAAACGTATTTGAAACTGTCTTTCTGTTCCTTTCTCAGGTGGAGCCTGTTGACCCGCCATTCAGGTATCCATCCTGCTTTTGGACAAAAGAATTTGCAGAGAACAGCAATGAGTGCCGACCTGGGTAAGGAGAAGTCCTTTTGTGTACTTCCATCGTAAGGCAGAGTGGTGTAACAGCACTTTTCATGATTTTTAGAATAATGTGAAAAAGTCTTGACACTTATTATCGAGTGAAGTCAGTCACTTACCTAGCTTCACAACTTTGAAAATTACTATTTTAGATGTAAATACATCTTCCTGCTTTTAAGGAAAAAATGGTTTGAGCAAGAGAATAGTGCAACTTAACTTTACTTTTATCCGCCACTTATACCCTTTTGGGTGTCACGGGAAGAAAGAGACGTCTCTCTTTCTCCAGCTGGAGAGCTTGGGTCAGGGGGATGCCGAGGGTGGTTAATGTTTCCATGTCTCTATTTATCCAGGTCTTTCTTGATCGCCCTGTAGCCTTGTTGCCATAAAAAAAATTTTATGTAGGCACGTTGTGCTAGGTCGTGTGTTGGTAATCGTAGGAGATGTCTGAACCGTTTGATTCTTTGGTGTTGGATGTGATGCATGACATCAGTTGTGCCCACCATTTCTCTGATTACTGTGTTTCTAATTTTGTCTCTCCTGGTCTTGTTTGCTGCTTTAGAGAATAGTGTGACAAATCAATAATTCCCCC